TACACCTACGTACATTAACGGGGGTACACCTACGTACATTCACGGAGGTACACTTACGTACATTCACGGGGGTACACCTACGTACATTCACGGACGCACACTTACGTACATTCACGGGGGTACACCTACGTACATTAACGGGGGTACACCTACGTACATTCACGGAGGTACACTTACGTACATTCACGGGGGTACACCTACGTACATTCACGGGGGTACACTTACGTACATTCACGGACGCACACTTACGTACATTCACGGAGGTACACTTACGTACATTCACGGGGGTACACTTACGTACATTCACGGACGCACACTTACGTACATTCACGGACGCACACTTACGTACATTCACGGACGCACACTTACGTACATTCACGGACGCACACTTACGTACATTCACGGACGCACACTTACGTACATTCACGGACGCACACTTACGTACATTCACGGACGCACACGTACGTACATTCACGGGGCACACTTACACACATCTCCACGCGTATTCCCCCAATGCATAATTATGCATCTATATATATATAAAGTTGTTCAGCCGAATTTGTGTGTTCGCGCATAACTAGAGAACTCCGCAGTCTAGAGGAAAACTAAATATATTTTTAGAATCAGCACGCCTGGGAGGTGGTTCTGGCTAAAACAAAAAAATTTTAAATTTATAAAAATTCTGTTCATCAATAGATGGCGTACAGATTAACATTATACATCACGTACGTGTGAATCCATTGTGTATAACCATAATGGCCCAGTAGGCGAATGGATAAAGCATCGGACTCCTAAACCATTGATTCGGGGTTCGAATCCCACCTCGGGAAGTACTTCTGCCGTATTCACCGTTAATTTCAAAATTTAATTTTTTTACCACATTTAAACGTTTAGTAAAAAACCAGAATAAACGATGGTAGATGATAATGATAGCGCAAACTGACGGGAACACTTCACAGAAGCCTATGTATGTTACATATCAAATATTATGATATTTTCTATATAATTTCATTTTATTATTTATAATTTTTGACTTTTTTATTTTAATGACTTTTATCTTTTGATTTCTCATGATTTTTTACTGTTGGGATGGGATGGGATGGGATGGGATGGCATGCGATAGGATGGCATGGCATGGGATGGCATGGGATAGGATGGCATGGGATGGGATGCGGTGCGATGAGATGGGATGGGATGGCATGGCCTGGGATGCGATGAGATGGCATGCGATGGGATGGGATGGGATATGGGATAGGATGGGATGGGATGCGGTGCAATGGGATGGAATGGGATGGCATGGAATGCGATGGATGGATGGATGCATGGATAGGTAGATAGTTCGATTTTTTTGGGTAATTTCCTTTCAACCAAGCGGTCACCAACTGAGTAACGCCACTGATTTCCCCGGGCAACGCCGGGTATCCCGCTAGTCCTTAATAACCCTGAACAGCGTATTATGAAGAATGTTTTTGAAGCACGCACAACGTCGTAACGCCGACGATGTACGGGATTTCCGCAGCAGCCGCTCACACTGCTAATCACCAGGTAAGGAAGCCCCGACCTTCCGCAATGAAGCCATACACGATGCTGCTGCTGCTGTTGCTGTTGCTACTGCTATTGATACTGCGGTTGGTGCTGCTGCTGCTGCTGTTGCTGTTGCTGTTACTGCTGCTACTGCTGTTGCTGTTGTTGTTACTACTGCTACTGCTGTTGGTGCTGCTGCTGCTGCTGCTGCTGCTACTGCTGCTGCTGCTGTTGCTGCTGCTGCTACTGATGCTGTTGTTGTTGCTACTGCTACTGCTACTGCTGCTGCTGCTGCTACTGCTGCTGCTGCTGCCACTGCTGGTGCTGCTACTACTGCTACTGCTGCTGCTACTGCTGCTGCTGCTGCTACTGCTACTGCTGCTGTTGTTGTTGCTACTGCTACTGCTACTGCTGCTGCTGTTGGTGGTGCTGCAGCTGCTGCAGCTGCTGCCGCTGCTACTACTACTGCTACTGCGACTGCTGCTACTGCTGCTGCTGCCACTGCTGCTGCTGATACTACTGCTACTGCTGCTGCTGCTGCTGCTACTACTGCTACTGCTGCTGCTACTGCTACTGCTACTGTTGCTGCTGCTGCAATCACGTGAAGCAGTTTTTTGACGAACACTACACAGTGACGGTCTAACGACTTCGGTGTTTTCTTTTCAAACAACGTCTAAGAAAGAAACCCGCTCCTGCTCTCGCTCTCGCTTTCATGTTCCGTCTCGAGCAATTTTCATTGTTTTAAACGCACAAAAATGCGCTGTTGCCAACAAATTGTCAGTTAGTTAAAAGTATAACGAGCGAAAGTGAGGAGCGAGCGACGCGAGCGCGCCAGACACCGGAATTCATACACTAA